AACACTGCTTCTGGGAAAAGGCACATGAAGATCAAATTAGAACTGCCAGAAAAGACTCCTTTGAAACCTATCCTTCCTCATCTGAGGACAAATGTTAGTATTCTAGGCTCAGCCGTCTCCTACCTGAATGACTGCCACAATCTGGAACTAACATAATTGAAGCTAGGGAATGAAAATCCATTTCCTAAGAGGCCCATTTAGTGGGCCCATTTCTTTTCTTCAGAAAGAAGGGAGAATTGTTTGTGGGGAGAGAGGCAATGAGAAAGAGAAGTTGGTAACTGATTTAATCATTCATTTGGCCCCAAATGATGCAGCAAGAAAAATTACTTTAGAGTGAACCCCTCTTCATTTTGCATGTTCCACAGAGTAAAAGTAAAAACATTCTTTTGAGTGAACCAAACAGAAAGGTTATTTTAAATGTATAATTTGATTCAGATGTCAAAGAATGAATTTCTTCTTTCTAGATTTAAAAAGGGATGTTACTCAGGAATGTTTCTTATTCCCCTTCTATTTCTTGGATAAAGATCAAAGTGCATTTGTTTGTCTAACGATACCAAAGACATACTTCCACTCCCTTTCCATTGGATGAAATTAATACTTCGCTAAAATGTCTGATTTCTTCAACTGCTCATCCTAAAAATAGTTAGAATGTAATCAGTATCCATTGTTATCATTTATTTGTAAAAATGGCATCCAGAATACTTGGAATAGATATTTTGATAATACATGGTTGGGGGGGGCGGTATGTGGAAGAGGGACTAGAAGTCAAAAGCCTGGATTTTACTTCTGAATTTTACTTTCGACTGCATCATTTACTTGTCATGTGACCTTAGGTATTTCACATCCTTTCTCATTTTTAACTTCCCCACCTATAAGATGAAGACCACAACACCAGCCCTGTTTTCTTCAGAGCTATGAAGCTCAAAAGAGATCAAATGAGTGACACACTATGAAGGCAGCAAAGGATACCCAAATGTAAGCCTTATTACTGATTATTTTATTTTGACAGATCTTCCCTTTTAAAATAACACAGCTTAAGACCTTTACTCAGCCAAAAAAAAACTCCTACTTTATCTCTAGCTCATATGGCATTGCCATAACAAAATTACACTATGTTTCAATAGGGAAACAAGTCAATCCTCTATTAAATTGATTGCATTCTAAAACCGAAAATCAAAGGCAAACTATATGCTGAAGTTTCTTCCTGAAAAGCTGAATAGCAAGATTTATTCTTCTAGAAGACTGTCTGAAAAATACTACTTATGGTCCTATTTTCTATACTTTAATTACCACAGGAAAAAAAAAAACTTGCAGGAACTATAGTTCATATTCTAAAAACACCTCTTGTCAATGATGAAAGTAGATAGTAGGGTTTAGAGTATTATATTTTACCCTAAAACTCAAAATCATCAAATTTTAGGAGTGGGAAAGGAATATTTGTAGATTTAACACAGTATCTTTGGAAGGTCCCCTAAGATGTCCACCAATGAATGAACAAGGTGACATGGAGACAGTAAGACATACTTTTCACTGAATATCATTTTCTATCTTTTGAAATTTGAGCCATATGCTATTAAAAAATATATATGTCGGGGCGCCTGGGTGGCTCAGTTGGTTAAGCGACTGCCTTCGGCTCAGGTCATGGTCCTGGAGTCCCGGGATCGAGTCCCGCATCGGGCTCCCTGCTCGGCAGGGAGTCTGCTTCTCCCTCTGACCCTCCTCCCTCTCATGCTCTCTGTCTTTCATTCTCTCTCAAATAAATAAATAAAATCTTTAAAAAAAAAAAAATATATATATATATATATGTCATTTTATTAATTCGTTATAAATCACTGAGGGAATCCAAAGAAGCCCTCATCTTCCAGAGGAGAAAACTGAAGCCAAAAAAGTAGATGAGCTGCTCAAGATCACACTGCCAGAGAGTGAAAAAGCTGGAACTAGAACTCAGGAACCCAGTGGAAGTTTCCAGCGCCTCCCACAATGCCATGTGGTCAAACAGCAAATGCCATCTTATAAACAATAAAAGTATTACTATAATCCTCTTCAGAACCGTGGTCTTCCAGGGGTTCTGTGACTCACGTGACACAGTACTCATCATTCATGTTTTCCCAGAAGTTCTAAGGCAGAGAGACAGAGATGGCAACCCTCATTATCAAGCCCTCATGGCAGGTATTAAAGTGGGTAAATAAAGGCAGCACATTGATCAGCATGTGGACAGGGCGTAGTCTCTCAGGCATATGTAGATCTAAGCCTTAACTGGGCCAGGAAAATTTTGCAGGCTTCATTATTACTGACAGTAAGGACGTCTGATGAGGCAGAATAAATTTAGTAGAACAAAGAGTTTATTTCTAGTGAACTGATTCGGAGGAAATAAAGCAAATAAAGCACAAGCAGAGCATAGGAAATTCTAGTTTGAAAGAAGCCATTTCTACTATTCTCAAACAGGAGAATGAAGGGAATTATCAAGGCCCCTTCTAGTCCTAAAATCCTCAAAAACGGAGAAGCAAAGCAACTTCAACTCTGCCTCTGAGTAATTCAAGCATACTTTTCCCCTTAGTAAGAACAAACGTTAGCATTTTCTTTCAATGGGCACAGATGCAGGGAAAACGGCAGAGTTTCCATAGGAAAGAACAAGCAAAGTCAGAAATAAAAGCTATTCCAAAAAATGTCTGAGTCTGTCAGAAAGAAGAAAGTTTACTGCAGAGGATTATCCTCTCCTTTCCAGGTCTGCATGTAGCTTTCACATCTGGAAAAATACGTGCATGTTTGATGTTATTAGGAGCTTTCAATATCTGCCAAACATACTGCAATCATGGATTAGTTACTCTGAGTATATTTAAGCACCGAGTAAGTCTCTATTTGCCCACAATTAGTTGATCTGATGAAACATTCAAAAAAGAAAGAGGGACACCTGGATGGTGCAGAAGGTTAAGTGGCTGACCCTCGGTTTTGGCTCAGATCATGTTGTCAGGGTCCTGGGGATCCAGGTCAGCAGGGAGTCTGCTTCAGGATTCTCTCCCTCTGCCCCTCCCCCTGCTCTGTCGCGCTCACGTGCACACACACTCTCTAAAATAAATAAATAAATCTTCAAAAAAGAGAGAACGTCAGAGACGATAACAAGCCCGGACAATACATAACCTCCAGCTACTAAAACTGCTCATATTTCTAAAGAGAAAACATAGATAAACCACAGACTAGGACTTCCTTAGTCAACTGGGTCACATGGTCACATCACACCAAGAAACCTCTCACCATACCTTCAACTGTATCAGGGACAAAAGGCCAGAGAAAGCTCAAGGTCAGGAAGCTATAATATAAAATACCTAGCTTCAACAAAGGTCCTGAGAGTGATGTTTCAAATTCCAATTTTCACTAGATATTTCAGAAATAGGAAAAATATTTGAAGTTTGTTAGTAATTTTTCCATTTCATTGAAAAGAAATCTGCCTCATGGTAAAATTCAAAGGAAAAAAAAATCACAGGAAACTTAAAAGTCAGATGTTATACTTCACATCGAAAGGTATTAATACCAAAAACTCTATCAATGTATTTCATCAAAAACATTAAGCATACAACCTGAAGCCAAAATAGGAGACATTCCACTCCTTCTCAGCAACAACTGAGTTAAACAGTGATAGAAACTGCACTTAATATTACCTAGGGCAGGAGAAACATTTGGTGACTCACACCTTTGATGTCAGTTTTTAAATTAAAGGTCAGTTTTCTTTGGGAAGAAAAAGAGGGGAAAACTTTAAAATTATCCCTTTAAACTTCAGGTCCAATAAATTAAAAACCACTTTGCCTCCTGGTCTCAGTTTCAAAGTCAATCCCCCTTCCCCCAAAACCATGAGTCATATATCCAACATCTGGTACCCAAGAAATTTATTGCTGTAAATTAATTTATTGAATGCCCACACTGAACATATACCATGTGAATTCAACAAAGACGCGGAATTTTAACTTTACGTCCTCCTAGCACTTCCATAGTTATACTAGTAAACGTGGGTTATTTTTCTCTCAACTCGAAAAAAAGAAAGTGCAGTGAACAAATCTCTCAGATCGCAGCTATCACGTAAATAAAATCTGACGAAAGGGGAAAATAGGTGTTCTCCATGCCCAACACCTCCTTGTGACGTTTTTAAATGGTTTAGAATTGTTTAAATATATACTCATCTAAATAGACTAAATCCTTACAGGCTACATCTTTATTTGCCATGGTAACGGAATAAAAAGCGGGGAATACTGCTGGCGTGTATGATTTCAATCCTCAGACAGTGCCAAAGTTTGAAGCCAATGATTTCATGCCGCTCCCCCTTAACTTTTCATTAACCTAGCTAACAAGAAATTGACAGACTGAGATTTCGGATTGTTTTATTTCCCAGGCTCTCCCTCTGGCGGAGGCAGGAAAGAGGAGCGCAAACAAGGGGTATGGTACATTGCAAATAAGACGAACAATCCTAAATAGAGAGAATTACTATAAAGCAGATAGAAGCAAAAGATTAGTTTTGCACTTTCGGCCCTCGGACTCCGTTCCAAAATTCAGCACCGCCTGCCAAAAGCAATGGCATTAGAGCAAATGATTAAATATCACCCCGAACCTTACGCTTCGACACCCCCGGGAAAGACTTCATCCACCTCAGTTATGACACTGCCGGGCGGTGCGTGAGGAGCAGGGCTAACGCATTTTGAGTAAGCGAGGCCCACAGAGAGCAAGACGAGCTCGTAACGAAAACCCCAAGAGTTTCCCAAGCAAGGACCTGAACACAAAGTCCTTGCTCTCGGTGAAGGCTGCAGAGCCGCTGCCTCCTCCCGCTCACCGGTAAAAAGGGGATCCTCCACCGCGGAGTGGGGGACAGAAGACTCGCCTCCTGCCGCCAAATCCGTCCCTCCCGACCCGACCGAGCCCACCGCCCTCTCTTCAAAGCTCCCAGAGGACCGCCACGGTCTCACTCCGTCCTTCCGCCCCGCTCGAGACGAGACCAGCCACCACCCCTCTCGGACCTGTCCCCGCGGGGTCCGAGCCGGCAGCGCGACGCCTCCATCCCCGCGGCTCAAGAAGTGGCAACCAAGTTCAGAACCCCCGGCGCCGCTGCTAGGGTGGCAAGTCTGGCAGGCGGCCGGGCTCCGCCCCCTAGCAACCGCACCCTGCACTGTTGCCACCGCCTATTGGCCCTCGTGCCCGTCGCTCGTCTCTCATTGGCCATTGCTGCTGCCCGGCGATGCGGGAGGGTTTCTAGGGGGCGGAGGCGCCAGGAGTTAAAGGCGCCTGCGCCCGAACTCTGGTGACGCGCTAGGTAGGGCTGGGTCCCTGGAGAGCGTCTCGGGGATGGGATGGAGCCGCTGGGGGGCAGGGGGGCGGGGCGGGGGGCGGAGGACGGAGGGATGTGTTCGCTACAGCTGCGTTGGCTCCCAGCGGCGGGGAAGTCAGTTCGTCGGAGGAACGGCCCATCCCCCTAACCGCCACCCACGGAGCGGCCTCCCCCGCGTCCCCAACGTTTGTACCCAGAGACCACCCAGAGTGCTTTCCAGAGGTCTGTAATGTTAGGACCCACTCACAGACCTCTGCCGGCTCCCTCACAATCCGGCCCCTCCCGACACCAGAGACTTCTGGGAAGCACCCCGTACCCTCTCCAGCAGTCATCCGCCGTTAAATGCATCTTTCATAGTTATCTGGTCTCGGATTCCAACTGCACAAAACTCCTTCAGCCTCCCCTACTCCAGCCCAAGCTTTTTAGAGTATTGCTAGACCAATTCTACAGACTTTAAGAACCTTTCCCATTTACCTCTCTCTACGGGCCTATGGTCGATCTTCAAACATCCATGTCCCATGAGATTTGCCATCTAAATATATACTCTTGTTTCCAATAAATCTTGTCTCCACTTCCTTTCTCACCACCAATTTACACATATCACTGTAACCCCTACAAAACATCCTGGCAAAAGTTATCGCATGTTGTGTTTATAGCATTCGGAGGTCAGCTGTTTCCACGTTGGGTTTGCCTTTCTAAGAGGCACAGAAGTTGGCACAAGCTAGGAGAGCAGAGCATCGTCTCAAAGTGTCAGCCTCCACTCCCTGTGTGACCCTAAACACAGTCCTTTATCTGGGCTTCAGATTCCCATCTATGAAATAAACAGAATAATCCCTGCTTGTTTAGCTCTGGCTAGACCAGACAGAGTAGGTTCTTAAAACTGAACAGATACAGTTGAAAGAGATGCTATCCGTATTGGTCAAAGGGCAAAGGAGACAGTTTTTGCCTGGGCAGTCCTGCTCTAGTTACAGAAAGTAGTCTTCTCTGAAAAGTTCCCATATTTAATTACATACATTTCAAGAAATCATTTTCCCACCCTATTTGGCATTTACAGACTTCTTTGAATGGAAATAGAAAACCAAAACACAACAAACCTAAGTAACTTATCTATGTCCCCTTTATCGCCCCTAACCCCACTGTATTCAGTGAAACAGGGCTTGCTGCCTTTCCTCACCTTGGCCTTTTAGCAGATGAGCAAGGTTGTAGAGGTGGCAGCTCAGCTACAAAGTCACAGAGTTTGCTTTTATTTTTCCTGTCCATCATGTCATAAAGGAAGCTGCTGCTGAGCCTGACACAGAGTTGGTACTCAAAAGTGTGGAATGAATTAGTTTGGACGAGGTGATTAGAGGATTAACTAGTAGTTTTAAAAAAACAACGAAGAAAGACTGTGGAGAAGGCAGTATTGCTGCATGATCAGTAATCAGAAGCAGGGTTCTCTAAAACCTTTCTGCAATCATTTATTTACATACATTTTAAATAGTTACTACAAGATACTTTAAAATTTTAGACAGTTAATGTTAAGAAAAATATGAACTGTTTATGACACTAAAAACTTTTTAGGAAAAGACATCTTAAAAAGCAAATCTGGGAACTGAATTCCCTTACGACTCCAAGGTTCTGGTTAAAACATCTTTTTTTCTATTGAGGTTATTGGTACTATTTCCATTTTATTCTCCTGATGTACTCTCCTGTGAACCAGAAAAGTACTTTAGCAACTTTATGAAAATTTCTTGAGACTGCTGGTGCCGGAGAAATCCAGTGAGTTTTTCACAAGGAACTGGTTTTTGTTCAGCTTCCCTCTCTCCCGGAGGTAAGTAAACAAGTGGCGTCGTTTCCTCCATGTGACCTTGATCCCATACTTCTCCTCAGGAGTGTCTTTAACTAGAACAGGCCCAGGCTCTGGGCTCTTGGGAGTACCAGCATGGAAGGAGCAGCTCGGAAGGCTACTTTCCCTCTGACCTGGGGGAACAGGCCCCTCCTTCACAAACGATGACTCTGGGGTCTGGATATCAGGGGGAATGAATACATAAGGTAAGTTTTGAAGCGCATGTGCTGACACTTCCCCACAGCTTTGAGGACTGAGCATTGGAACTAAGGGCCTTCCGGAAATTTGCTTTTCTGATTGACCGGGGCATTCCCTGCTTAAGGGGATCCCAAGCGTGGCTGAACAAGAGGAAAACAGTGGACTGTCAAATGTTAGATGTGGGAACTTGGAGGCGGTAGATTTTCGACTTGCATGTCTTGCCTGGTTTCGATGATGACATTTCTGGTTCACCGGGAACCAGCTTTCTGCTGTCATATCAAACTGAGGTGATACCTTTAGGATTAAAAACAAAAACCAAAAAGAAGTGAGGAGAGCCAGCTACCAAGTACGAACGAACCTGAGGGAGAAAACTATATCCAAGGACCAGAATTCTAAATGAGGGCCCACTACAGTAATGGACACAAAACGAAGTATTTGTCTAATGGGATATTAAAAGAAAGGGATATGAGCTTTGGGCAAGTAATTCGATCTCTCTGGCTTTCCGTTTCCTTGTGTGTAAGAAAGGGGACAATGCCTCCTTCACTTTATCACACCATACAGCTGCAACTTGTTTATCTTTAAACTTTGAGGGCAGAGACCAGCAGTCTTCCTCACCTTTGATGCCCAGCACCTAGCAGAGTGCCTGGCACGAAGAAGGCCCCCTGTAGAGTGAATGCTGAGTGCAAGAATAGGGAGTGAGATCATGTATGGAAAGCAACTAGCATAAGACCTGACACATGGCGAGTCCTCAGTAAGTGTTCATTCCTCTTCTCATCCATGGGATTCTAACATTTCAATTTCTTCTACAATCCCAAAGCAAGTATTATGGTTCTTCCAAGCAATCCTGAACAAGCTATATATATTAAGCACTCTTATGTGAAGTTTATGCTTTTGTCTGGCCCTCTGGCTATACCACTTTCCTGACAGTAGCTATATTTTCTTCCTAGGGCCTTGAAACTGTCAAAATACGACATGCCATTTCTGTGGGGCTTTTTCCAGGTTCACTCTCTTAAACTATAAATATAGTACCTAGCTAAATAGTTTACCTCTCAAGTGACGCTTGGGGAACAATCTCATTTTTTATTCATTCGGCCATTTATCTGGCTTCTTCACTGAGCTACCGAGTAATAATGAAACTTTTATACTGAACTCTTTAAGAAGAATGTGGGGGGAAAGACTCCAACTCCAACCAGCCCTTGCCTCAGCTTGAACTTAGAAAAGAAGATATCCCCGAGAAGATGGCTGATGACAGAAAGAATACATTGCCTCTTGTCCCTGCTCCCATGAATCTTTGGAGGCCCTGGTTTAAGGGGCAGAAGAGGCAGCATTCTACGAAGGCTAACAGAGCAAAAGTCAAAGTAAGAATCCCATGGCCTACCCAGGAAGTGACGGTGTTATGGTCAATGGGCTTGCTGGGCACCTGTCTAGTGTGGGTGATGGTAAACTGGGGAGAGCCATAATGGTGTTTGGGGCCCTCCAGTGGTGGTTCTTGGAATAGCAGCTGAGCTTTCTGGGAAGGCTGGCGGCGTTTTTTTCTGGGAGGCATCAATAGGTGAATGAAGAGCAGTTAAAATTAGTAACCACATGATGCTGGTTGTTGTCAGGTCGGGGTTCAGGCTCCGATTCCAACCCATGCCTGCAGAGAAGAAAACAAAAGCTGGGAGACAATTCTGATGATTCCGTCCCCAGCTCTTCCTCATCCTCTGCCAACCAGTTCTACTATCAACTAGCACCCCTACCTCCACACCTTGGGGAGTACAGCTTCTATCCCTGCACCACCAAGTAAATACACAGTAGTTCCTGGTCAACAGCATTCATCCAACGCACACTGATCGAGCACGTGTTGAGTGCCGTGCTGGGTGTTGGGAATTTAAAGATTCTACAATCATTTATCAAGTGCCAAGTGCTTGCAGGGACACATAAGAGAGACTGTCCCTATCTTCAAAGAGCTGAGAGGCTAGCAGAGGGAGACAGACAATTCCGATAATGGGAAGAATGCTTCCACTCACCCCAGGGGAGGCTTTCTAGAGAGGGTGATACCTGACCTAGTACGGAAGGGATAAGGAAAGCCAGAGAGCAGAGAGAGCAAGGCACTCCAGGCTGAGGAACAGCACATACAGAGGCACGGAGACAAGACTGTGAACTCAAGGTATCACAGGCTCCATGGAGCTGGACACAGCGTATGCAAAGACAAATGCAAGACCCCAGAGGCTGGACCCGGTGTCAGGGTCAGGTCAGAAAAAGCAGGTGTACCATAGGTGTTTGGACTCTAGCCTAAGTAGTCACTGAAGATTTTCAAGCAGAACGATACGATAAGTTTTTTTTTAACTTTCCCTCCATATAATTTTGAACATACACAAAAGGAGAATGAATAATATGAGCCCCCGTGTACCCATCACCCAGTTCCAACATCAGCCCATAGCCAATCACGATCCATCCACACCCTTTATCCACTTCCCCTACCCCTATATTATTATGAAGAAAAGATGAATATTCCCAGCCATTATGCCATCCCCATTAATACAACATATATATATATTCCTAATATTATCAAATATCCAGGGATGCCTGGGTAGCTCAGAGGGTTAAGGGTCTTGCCTTCGGCTCAGGTCATGACCCCAGGGTCCTGGGATCGAGTCCCGAATCAGGCTCCTTGCTCAATGGGGAGCCTGCTTCTCCCTTTGCCTGTCGCTCCCCCTGCTTGTGCTCTCTCTCTCCTACAAATAAAAAAATATATTATCAAATATCCAGACATGTTCAAATTTTCAATTGTTCCATAAATGTCTTAATTGGTTGTTTTTGTCTTTTAGACAGATCATCCTGGCAACAGTGTGGAAGGAGAGGGAGTACTCTGGAAATAGGGGGACCAGTTTTAGGAGGTTACTCTGTTACTGAAGTGAGAAATGATCAGGCCTGAATCTGGGCTGTGTTGGCGGAAATGGGAGGCAAGACACAGAAGCAGGATCAACAGGACCCGGAGTAAAAAACAGGCTGAAAAAAGTGGAAAAAAATGTCCATTGACTCTAGTAACCAGATCGACTTTAATAAGAGCTTCATCAAGTGGAAGGGTGGGATAGAAGTTTGCGTGCAATGGAGAGGTGCGCGGGAGGTACAGCTGGCATCCAGCGAAGTCCCACAACAGGGCAGACTGGTTCCACCACACATTCATGATTCATTCAGTCAGTCAACCATAAAAAGTAACATACTCTGACTTCTGTCACTAGGCAGTGGAGATACAGGTAAAGAAGGAAGAAAGGACAAATCATTTTTAGGGAGAACACAGGTAGTACACACAGCTGTTTGTTCGTTCATTCAGCCATTCAACAAATACTGAGTGCCCGCAGTGCTAGGCCCTGTTCTTGGTGCTGGAAATATATACCAGAGAACAAAATGAAATCCCTGCCCTCGTGGTACTTACATCCTAGTTGGGAAGTGACTATGGAGAAAATCCAAACAGGATAAGGGGTTGAGCCAACTCAGTGCTCTTTTAGAGAGGGCTGTCAGGGAAGGCGACTGAAAAAGTGATATTTGAGCAAAGACCTGAAAAGAAGAAAGGAGAGCAGATGAGAAACAGTTCATGTGACACAGGGCTTCACAGGCAAGGTTAAGGACTCTGGACTTAACTATTCTTCGTGTGACAGGAAGCCACAGCAAGGCTCTGGACAGGGAAGCGACATTTCTACTTTACAATGAGAACTTCAGGCGCTCTGTGAGAACAGGTGGGCTGGAGACAGCAGGCACGGAGAAAGGAAGCAGGGCACCCAGTTAAAGGGCTGCTGCAGGAATCCAGTGGAGAGATGACAGCAGTAACAATGCCTCCAGTCAGTGTTGACATTAGCCAGCCTCCAACAGACATGACATTGCTCAGCAGCAATCCTACTATGCTCCCTTCATCAACTCAATATCCGCAGATTATCTTAAGATGTTTCCACTTTCTTAAAACCTTAGAACTCCCCTTCCCTCTTAACAAATGACCTTATTTCCTACTTCACAGAGAACGTAGGAGACGTTAAAGAAAATAAACTCACTTTCCAGATACCAAACATACAAACCTATATATATATCTGCATCCATTCTCTTTATGCTATAATCGCAGGTCAGTCCCATTTGCTCTGTAAAACCTTTCCCTCTGGCTGTGTTTTGGAGCTTTCCTTACTTTATACACCTTTCTTAGGCAATGATCGGCTCACACCTACAAGTGGATGACTTAAGTATTTATACACTCAGCTTAGAATTCTCTACACTCAGTACCCACATTGCCACTGCCTACTTGACAGCAACTAGATGTCTCAAATGCACCTTAAACTCAACTTATTTAAGTTTTCCAGTTGACTCCAAATATCTTTTTTTTTCCTTTTTAAGGTATTATTTATTTATTTATTTGAGAGAGAGAGAGAGAGAGTGCACACAAGCAGGGGGAGCTGCAGAGGGAGAGGGAGAAGCAGGCTCTCTGCTGAGCAGGGAGCCTGATGCGGGGCTCCATCCCAGGACCCCAGGATCATTACCTGAGCCAAAGGCAGATGCTTAACTGACTGAGCCACCCAGGCACCCTCAAACTCAACATATTTAAAACTGAATTCATGATCATCTCCCCTGCACCCGCTCCACAGGTGATTATCTTGCAAGGCCCTTGCTCGGGGTATTATCCTTCATCTAGTTATGCAGCCAGAAACCCTGACATGTCCCACCTCTGTCCCCATCCAACACCACCAAGCCCTGACAATCTTACCTCTTAAGTATGTCTTCAATAATGCCCCTTTGGCCCCTCTCTCTTGCTCTCTTTCTCTCCCCACCACTCTTCAAGTTCCAACAGTTCTGGTCTGGAGTATTGCAATAGCCTAAACGGGTCTACCCTAATCCACTCCAGCACCCCCTGCAGAGGAGCCTTTTAAAAATGCAAATCTGATCTTGACTCACTTCTGCTTAAAACTGTTGATTTCTGGATAAGGACCAAACTCCCTCAGTTATGGCTAAGGTCCTATTTCCTCTGGCTCCAGCTTCATCTCACACCACACTCTATTCAGGTCCTCTCAACTCTGACTCCCAGATATTCTTCAGCCTTTGTACAGCCCAATCTTCTTCCTTTTGCTTTGCGGGGTTCACTCTCTTCTTTACACAAAAGCATCAGACCTCAGAACAAGCTTCCGTCCGGAAAAGCCTTTCCTGACCTACCGAAGGCAAGATCTTATTGTAGATAGTCAGTTATCAATGACCTCTAATTTATCCCTTCGCAGCTATAATTCTCCTTTTGCTTATTCGATTCTTCAAAAATGTCTGTTGTCTCCTCTCTTCCCATTAGACTGTATACAGAGTAAGGAAAGAACCTCCCCTACCACTGTTATCCTAGCAGGGCCTGGCACATACTAGGTGCTCAACAAAATGTGCCGAGCAAGTTAATAAAGTATTATCATGGCGTGGAATTTTTTTTCAAGAGGAAGCTTAAACAACATGATACGCCGGTCGACTAGTCGAGGCGGCCAGACGATCGTTAGTTGGAGGGGAATGGAGTAGTTTGCCCCAAGTAGGGAAGCCAAGCCTGGGAGGCTTTAGAAAGGCCAGAAGCTGGCGAGGGAGGCGGGAGGAGCGGCGCCGGGGGAGGGCTCAGGCGAGCGACCCAGAACACACGAGGGAGCGCAGGCCGAGGGCGCCGGCCCCGGGCAGGGCCGTCTCCCCGCCGCCCCGGCCG